GGGTGTCCACAGCAGTGCCAGCTTGGTTTTTGATGCTAGCCACAACCTTTTACCCACACATCTTTTCCATTATGTTATCTTTATTACACGCTTTTTCCTAACATCAAGCCCAATCCACACCCTGAGTCCTCAATGCCAGGCAGGGTGGCTGTAGTTGGGATGCAGAGCTGGGCAGAGATTGGTATGTGGGGGATTAAAGTCCTTCCTGCTGCTGGTGGGGACATGAGGGAAGGGGTAGGGAGCAGGAAAGGTATCCATGGGGTGATCCGTGGGTGCAGGCCAGCCCTTATTCCCTGCCAGGCACAGCCCAGAGCACCTAGCCCTGTCTGACCCCAAATAGGTGCCCCTGGGAGCACCCCAGGTACCCTACAGACATCTCCCTGTCGCATTGCAGCTCCCCCAGCACAGCCTTCTGCACTCAGGGACCAGCACATCGCCCCAACTCTGCCCTCACTCCCCCTGAACCCTCTTCTCCGGCTCCCCAAAGCCACATGGAGCTGCACAGCCGCCCCCAAAATACACAGGGACGACGTGGGGGGGAACACATCAACACTAATCACACTGGCCCTCTCGGCCGCGCTACCCTACACAGTGGTACATGCACAGGGCGCCGGGCTCGGGCTCTGCCCTCTCCTCCAGCCCTAATAAATACCCAGTAAATGGCACCAGTTACACCCTTGGGGTGCTGGTTTGGGGGAATGGCCCTCAGTCAGGCAGTAACTGCTCCAGCTCCTCCTCGTTCAGGCCATTGGTGGTGACAATGTGGTCCAGCTGCTTCATATACCGCTCCAAGTCCTGCATGAAATGGGGGATGCGAACCTTATCCAGGACCCCAAATTTCTTCAGCCGATTGACATCTTCATAGGAGACCTGATGGGAAGCAGGGAGATGGGGTCAGCCCACCCACCCTGAACCCTGACAGGTGCCAAAGGGGACATCTGGCCCCACTGCAGCCCACCTGGGTCAAACCCCCACTGCCCAAAGACCTCTCCTGTCTGTGGGGAGGCAGCAGGAGAGCTGCTGGAGATGTGGGATTGGCAAGGATTTGTGGTTTGGCAATTCTGTGTCACTGCAGGGACAGGTGACAGCAGGACTGCTGTGGCTGAGGGCCAGCAGAGCTTAACCTTCTGGGTTAAGCCTCTTCCTGAAGGTCTTCCACAGAGGATTATGGATTGTCCTGTCCTTCCTTACATACTACCCAGCACAGCCTTTCCCTGTTCCACTGAGACCCGTAAGCACAGGGAAAGGCAAAGAGCTGAAGGACTGCCAGGCAAGGGCTGGTTTTTGGGAAGCCATGGGATTGAGGGAACCCACATGAGCTTAGGGATGGAACAGGAGTCTGGGATCAGCCACTCCCTTCACCTACCCCCAGCCATTACCTTTCCAAGTGCAGCCAGCAGTGGGAAGTCAATGGTCTGCCGATGGCGCAGGATGCGGAGAATCCCGTCCAGGTAGACTTGGTCCTTACTGAAACAGCCTGGAAGAGCAGAAGAGGCCTGGGGGAGGGAACCTGGCTTCCCACCACCCACCGCTTGCCTGAACATCTGCCGACTGCAGTGACCAGAATACTCCAGGGCTCAGGACTGCTGGGTCCCAAGGGATGAGCACTGAGAGGCAGCTGGGTGCAGCAAGAGCCCCAAACCTCACTGGGATGCTTTGCCCTTCTTCCCAAGTAATTTTTTTAATGGTAAACCACTACAAGAATCCAAGTGTATTCACAGTAATGCTCATTTTTCCTCTCCTTTGGCTGCTGCTTCCCCTGGAGCTTGTGCAAGTCCCTCAGGGGACAAGTATAAACCCACGGGAGAGTGGTACTGGGGATGGGGAGGGATGTAGGGGCAGGCTGCTGTGGCTACATGTGGGGAGAAAAGGGTTAAAAAGCAGAAGACTGGTGTGCAGGACTGTAAATTGCTCGAGTGACCTTGCACATGGGAGTAACTCTTGATAAGCCTGTGTGAACAGCAGGCTGGTGATCCTCTGATCTTGTGTACCTCTGCCCAGGTGTTGACTTGGGGAATCCCCCAGTTAGCAAGGTAATGGCAATAAATTTACTCTTTGTGTCCTAGCCACAAGTCTGTGGTTGTTCTGGCTGCCTGTCTGTGCCAATTCACACACTGCAGGACTGGTGATGCTCAACCCATCCGTCAGCAGAACATACTCACCTTGGTTTTTCTTTAGAAGAAATACAATTCCTCCCAAAACCCAAAGGCTTTGCACCCCCTGAGCAGTACCTGGCTGTGAGGTGTCCGTCTGGCCCCGCTTCGCCCGCACACAGTACTCCCACCGGACACCAGCATCCTGGACATACTGCTCCAGGTCCTGGAAGAGGGCAGAGAAGGAGAGGCGGCTGGCGCGCTCGATGGTGTAGTAGAGCAGGGCTGCTCGCCACAGGAAGGGCTGCTTGCGGAACAGGACGCTGTGCAGGCTGGCCAAGCCTTCCTCTGTGGGGTTTGCTGGCTTCAGGCTGTACTGCTTGCGGCCCTCGGAGCTGTGCCAGGGCTGGCGGGTGTTGTTCACCCCACGGATGTAGTGGGTGCCTAGGGAGGGGAGACACGAGGGAGTCCTGTCAGTCACAGCCTCCAAAAGGCTTGACTCCCACTCCCATCCCCTGCCAAGTCACTGGTGTTGCGGCCAAGACACAGCACCCATGGGTGCATCAGTCTTGGCTGATGATAATGCCATGGGACATCTGATTGCTCTAGTACCCAAGAGAAGGCCAGGGCATGGGTAAACAGGTGGGTGCCTGACACCCCTGCCCTGCACACATAGGTGTGGCCTCAGTCCAGGAGCTCCCCTGAAGGATGCCTCCTTGCAGGACCTGTGGGTATCACCTTGCCCTGCGGTCCCTGCAGCCCGCAGGCTGTTAGCCCAGTGATGGTCACAGCATCCCCCCTGCTCTGCCCCCCACCCACAGCCACACAACCCCCACTGACCTATCTCGTGGCGCAGCATCCCCTCCAGCCAGTGCTGCCGGGCTCCAGCCAGGTTGATGGCCAGGGTTGGCCGGCTGTCCTCCACCATCATCACAGCCTGGGACAGGAGGTCATCAGTCAGTTGCACCACCACCTGCAGAAGAAGGAGGAGGCAACTGCCATCAGCAGGGTCTGGCCTCTCAGCAGAGGCTGAGATGGTGGCAGATGGTTGTAAAAAGCCACTGACACCACGGGTGGCACCGTTTGGCACTGCCATCGCTGGCTTTTTCTCCTCAAAGGAACCACAGCCAGCACGAGCTGTCATGGAAGGGTGACAAAAGGAAAGAGATTATCCCAGTGGGGGCTGAAATAGCTCTAATCTCGTAACAGACAACAAAGCTGAGCGGGTACTGTGGGGGAAGCAAGCAGCTCCTGGGCAGCCTCCTCCAGCATCCCTCTGGCTCCCACATCACCCTCACCACCTTAGTCCCATGGGCTCCCCACAGTTTTATGGCCATACATGATGGGCATCCTCCAGAGACCTGCCTGGTCCCCCTCCTGCATCCCCACTGGCAATGGGATAGGGCAGTAACTTTGGCCACCAAACCAACCCAGCTCTGAACTCCCAACAGCACCCGCTTTGTTATGTGTCCAACCTCTGCACCCCACAACAAACATCTCCTGAGGGATCCAAGGCTCTGGCTCCATTTTCATGGACTCTTCTGCAGATTCTCCCATTCAAGGCTCCAAGACATGAGCAGTGAGGATGGCTCCATGCCAGCCCACCCTCGCAGAAGGAACTGTGTGTGCTGGCCACAACACACAGCAGGGATGGGCAAAGCATGCTCAGGACTACTCAAGTATCCTTATACGTAAAAAAACAGTTATTTTGGGAAACCTGGCTATTCCAAGTGCTGGAGCCAAGAGAGCTGCTCTCTGCTTACATGAATTAACATGCTGGCCAAGCAGCATTTTCTGACTACCCAACTTCAGACCTGCTGTGACGCAAAGCTTTGCTGGAGGAGGTGGTCCCTGGGAGCTCTTGCATCCAATCCTCAGGACAGCAGTCAAAATTGTTCCCCTACATACATATTAACTCTGTAAACCACCTATTATTTCACAGCTGACACTTTTCAGGATGAAAAAAAAAGAGAGGAGACTGAATGGCTTTGCTTTGACTCAGATTTATTGTTATTATTATTTATTATAAAAGCTAAAAGTGCAGCGTGACAGAGTGCTCTGCGGGGCAAACAAACAGCCTGAAATACTTACAGTGCAACAGCTTACCTGGATTAAAATACACCAGCATGAAAGGGAATCCCTTGCTAGTTCACCTCTGAGTCCCAATGCAGAGCCAGTCATACAGGAGCAATGGAAAGGGACTCTTGGCATCACTGGAGACCGGAGCTTCGCACACTGCTGTAGCCCTTCTCCCACTGCAGCAGCCCACCCTGCTGAGCTGTACCACTTGCCTTGTTTCAGGACCCTCCAGCTTTGCAGGTGCTGTTACAACCAGGACTGTGACTCCAGCCAAAGTCCTGCTCCTGGAGC